TACAACACGTGGAAGAAACTCACACGAGACATGTACCGATGTAATCCCGGGTCAGTTAATGAAACTTAACACGTCGATGTTTCGATGCCGTACGTATCGGCGATCCGGGTCGTTAATTTCGTGTTCGAAAATTTGACAAACACGGCCGTAGAAATTGCGCGTCGCCTCGTCAATCGCGATTGATTTACGCCATTCGACGCTAAATCCAGCTAAATCCGCGATGATACCGTGGAAACGACGGGGGTCATATTTTCGGGGTCCGATCACCGGATCGATTCCATCGACTTCCAACAGCAGCGGCGTAAAGAGGTTCTTTAAGGGGATGTCAAAGTGGCATTCAAAAGCTCAATTGTTCATAAAACTTTTCATAGAACTGTATGTCTCATATCGTATTATACTTAAAAACGCGAATATGGAGACCCTAACTTTTTTATAAACTATTTTTAAAATACCTATAAAGAAATTTGAAAAGAATTTAAATTTCATGAGTTTCAGGACCTTCCTTACAGTCTCCCTGTTCAGGTTGTAAAGTTTCAAACCGTTCGGTAAATCGAGCTGGGTGAAAAGTTTTATAAAGAAGACCTCTTCGACGCCACTTTCACATCACCTTAAGGACGCCGACTTTATGGTTCCACCATGCCGGAAGAGTCGATAGGAGGAAACAGGGGATGCGCTTAAAATGCCGGGCTTTCGATCCTCTTTATCGCCTGTGCTATTTTTCTTTTATATCTCATTTCCTTTCCCAGGGACCTCTTCGAATTTCAAATTCGATCCTTCCTTGACGAAGTTCCGCCACTTTCGCGAGGAACGGTCCCCTCGGGGTGGAGTCGCTCGGCTGAGCTTCGCGCCAAGTTCGTTTTGGCCAAATTATCAGTTGGCGTGCCGATTACGGCGAAGAACTGTCGGATGGTTTATTTCTACCACGCAATTGTTTGGTCGGTCATTCGTGGGGGTGCTCGTCAAGTAAAGATAGAGTTACCGACCCCAAACCTGGGGGTCAAGGTAGAACATGGAGACATTACTCTTATCGGATCGGAGCTGCTATCACGAGATTTCGGAGTTAACAAAAATTGCTGGAAATTAACCTTTCCGACGTGAACGAAAATTCCATATATATATATATATATATCAAAACGTCTAAATATTCATCATTTGAAACTTCAGCTCGTGATTATGAAGGCCCTAAGGAAGAACGTAATGCTCGTGAAATTTAATTTTTCAAAGGAAATGTTTCTTTTATATTTAACCTAGACCAGAATCAAGATCACGTGTTTTTTTTAATTTTGTGAAAAATGAAATTCCACGAGCATTCTTCCTTAGGTTCATGACCACGTGGTGAAGTTTCAAATGATTCGGTGTACTCAGTTTGGCGAAAATTGTTATCAATGTTTCTACGTTCTATAGGGACAGAATGACCCTTTCATATCACCTTAACCCGTTGCAATTAGAAATAGCTCAGAAATGGAGATAATCTTAATAATAGATCGCACTGCATTCCCGCATCGATGTTAAAGTTCATTAGACTACTTAGTCTACTTAGGCGCTGGTCGATACGTCATCGATAAGGGAGGGACGGATCCAACGATCGTAATTTACATTTAATCAATCGGCGTCGCATCGGAGCGAAGTCGTTGGCGGATAACGGCGGAAGGTCGTTCTTGATGGGCACGATCTTTCTCTCTCTCTCCTCCTTGATTTCCATTCTCCTCGGAAACGGGCGGAAAATGAGGCTGATGGACGCGTTTTGGGAAGACGATCGCCGACCGACCGTCCTCAGAGACCACCAAAGCTCCGGAAATTACAATCCTGATAAGTGACTCGACGCTCCAACAGGTTGCCGAGGAACCCAACGTAGTATCGATGCCTCCTTCGGTATAGAAGACAAAGACCCCATGACCCCATGACGAACCCTCCGAGGCCGTGCTCCAATTCGACCCAAACTTGGATCTGCACTGATAAAAGAAGAAAAAAAGAATAATTTCAACCAAAGAGACATTTTAATTGGAAAAATAATTATTTCACTCGAACTCGAATATACCCTAGTAGCATAGAATAATTTTTAAATATTTCTTTGTCTTTGCTCAATATCTCAAGCGACAGATTTTCTTAAGATTTCTTGTAGATTTCATTCGGATATTTGAAATATTTCTTGAATATCTCAATGACATATTTAGTTTGAATAATTTATAAGCATATAGAGAAATTATGTTCTTTAACTTATTAACATAATAAAAATACATTTTTTACTTCGCGACTATAATCGGACACTTAATTGATCTTACTGAAGTAAACTTGAGTGAATATGACTATTTGTGAGTATTCGTGATAAATTTATAATATATCATAAATACATAAACTTATATTTGTGACCGGAGGTAGTGGCGCGCGCCAATCGTAAATACATAAACACAAAAATTTATAAAAAAATAAAAATAAAATATCTCTTCGGTTAGATGAATGTCAGTTGTCACGGTGGGAGTACTTCTTTCGATAATGATTAAATACCGCCCATTGTACTCGGAGGAAAACGCGAGATTTTCTCTTTCGATCTTCGGGATCCTTCGAAGGCGTGGAATGATTTTTGATTTCGGAATTTGGCGATCACGCGATCGGTCGATCGGTCAAACGACCGTCTGGTTTGTCCGAGTTGTCAGGCGCGTTATCACCGATCGATGTCGGTGCATGATAACGGGAGGAACGAGGGGGGCATCGGGTACCAAAAGCACAGAAGCTCGTGAGCCTCGAAGTTCAATGCTCCATCGAGTTTTGCGCCGCAAGGCCGAGGAAAATCGATATAGTTGCAAAGGTCACGCAAAAGGCCTCGAAAAATCTCTGTCGGCGGACTCGATTTCGTTTAACCCCTTAAGGGGATGTCAAAGTGGCATCCGAAAGCTCAATCGTTCATAAAACTTTTCATAGAACTGGGTGCCTCAAATCGTTTCATACTTTAATAAGTGAATATGGAGACCCTAAGGTAGGTCCTGAAACTCGCGAGATTTCATTTTTTTGTAAACTATTTTTAAAATACCTATAAACAAATTTGAAAAGAATTGAAATTTCATGAGTTTCTGGACTTTCCTTATAGTCTCCTTACTCACGTTGTGACGTTTCAAACTATTCGGTGAACCGAGTTGGGGGAAAAGTTTTATAAACAAAACCCCTTCGACGCCACTTTCGCATCACCTTAACGCACAGATTTAAAAAAAAAAACCGGCAAAAAAGAATCAATTTTTTTCTATATAAAAAAAACAACTAGAACATTGTCTTGGGAAAAAAATAAAATTCTCGATTATATTCGAGGGTGAAAAATTATAGTAGCATAAAATACAACGCCGCTGGAATTAATTCGAGCGCAGAAATTAAGGGGTTAACGGCGAGGATCGACCCTCGATGAGGTCCTGGTGGAGGAGTGCAAGAATCGAGGGTCCTCCTCGGATTTCGAAATGTCTCTTAGGGGAATAATCCGACCGCGTGCGAGATTACGCGTTATGGAAACAATCGTTTAACGAACCGGGCGCGACACTTTTCGCACCTCGTTACAACGTTATCGGGATTTTGTAATTCTACCTAATTAGTCTAACGAGCTACCAGACCGATGGCGACGAGGCGGCTGAAATTTAGACCGGCAGAATCAGTCGTACCTCTAAGGATTTCCGTTTTTTACCCGAGTAATTGCACCTTCGATTCGCGCCCGACTGACTTTGTCCCGGGTTCGATTATGCGAGACTTTTTGCGCCGTTCGATTATCTCGGATTTCCGGAGGAAATCGACCGAGTCGAGATGTAATTGCCGGAGGCCTTAACGATCTCGTCTTGAGGGTGCTCTTTTTTCCTTCTCTCTCTCGTCTTTTTTCTCGTCTGAAAATTCCTCCTACGAATTGCGATCACCTTCGACGAATTTTCGAACACCCAAGCCCAGTTCGAACCGCCTCGGAACCAGATTCAAACTTAAATCTAAACCCGATTAACGGCGTCCCTAATCAAACTCGTTTAACTGGTTATGACCTAAACGAGGCAGTTTTCGAGTGCTGCTCCGTGCATTATCGATGATAGCGGACATTATGATTATGCCGTTGCATCGTTGCAACGCCGTTTAAGGTGTCTCGAAAGAGTCGCTCTATCGTAGACGAAAACCTTAAAATATTGATAAAAACTCTCCCCAAACTAGACACACCGAATCATTTGACTATGGAGGCCCTATGCTCGTGAAATTTCATTTTTCCAAAAGAAAAATATTTATACCCTTAATTATGGTCTGGGAAGGATAAACAAATTATATTTTTTTATCTCAATTTAGAGATTGTAGATATCTTGGCGTTTTGATATGCATGGAATGACTCTTTCATAAGACCTTAAAGATGGAGGGATAAATTTTCAAGATTGTAAGAATTTTTAAAATTAGATGCACAACACGTTTTTCATTTTTTCGAGAGCTTTCTTCGGTTTCTAATCGTTGGGAAGGGTTGCACCCTAACGATCTCTTCGGCGACCCATCACTCGTGACGAAGTTCACGTTGCGTCACGGGAGGGACGTGGTCGTGATGCGAGGTGTCCAAGAGAGAGAGAGAGGGGCTCGGTAAAGGGAGAAAGGGGACGAAAGAGAGAGAGGCGAGAGTGGCGCTTACGGGCCGCGTTAGGAGACGCCTATAAAAGCTGACTCGCACCGCGCGAGGACGTCACACGCCGGTAGCACACCGCACGGTGAGGAACCCCGGAGAGGAAGTACCGCAAGAGAGAGAGGAAGAGAGAGCGAAGGGCTCCAGGGGAAAGAAGCGGGCCGATCTCCGCGCGCGCTGATTGGCTGCACCCATAGGGGCGACTTTCCGTTGGACCGCTCGACCGCTCGACTCTCCGGCCCGACGGAAGGGGCGCTGTGGACCGCGGCCAATCGCAGCTCGAGGTAGTGGCGCGCGCCAATCGGCGCGCTCGCTCGCGCGCGAGTTCCGACCGGCCGAGTCGGTGAGTGCGATCGGGAAGGAAGAGTCCCGCGTCAGTCTCTGCGCGGCCAGAGCGGACGGCGGAAGGCCCGGCGAGGGGCCCGCTCGGAGGACATCCGGATACGTGAGTACGAACGCACCTCCTCATAATGAATTTTTTTCTCTATTACGATTTTTTTTTCCTTTTTATCAACGATTTCTTTCCGAGCCGTAAGCGCTCTCTCGGAGCTCCGTGGAACGACACCGGAGACGGGGCGGTCTTCATTTAATTACCAATTTAATCACTTTTCGCTTTTAATGAAATTGCTGATTAATCGTGGGTTCGATAATTAAATAAAAGTATGGGCAATTACGACGCGGAGGAAGATGTACCCACCTCGACGTGATCTGTTTATTTATGTTCGACGGTTCTATCGATATTCGGAGAATCCTATTTGCGTTAGTTGAGGTCGGATATAATGGTATACTATTTTTTTGGGGGTTTTTCTTTCTGTGGGAGGGTATGGCATGGTGACCAGAATTTTACGTAATTTATGGACTATCAATCGTGACACCGTAACCGGTGTCCATTGGCGGAACACCGTATCGATGGCGAAATAATGGCTTTTTTTTTCCTTTCTTTTTTTACACCTGTCGGAAATGTCCAACAGGTCTCGTCGGAGTCGTTTCGAGTCGCGGGTGTGACGAGACCGAATATCGTACGAATATCGATGCCGTGTCCTCGCAGATAAAATTTGTCAACGGATGCTGCGATTCTCTCTCTCTCGAGAGAATCCTCGAATTTGCATCCCATGGCTCTTTCCTGGACAGAGAGGTCGGTGCGGACATGGGGATACAAATATTGGCCGCGTATTTCATACTTTAGACTGGTAAACTTTCCAAGGCCGGGAATATTTCTCGGCTTTACTTTCGACCGAAATTTTTCCGGGGGTGCAAATTTATTTATCGGGGAGATTTACGATCGTCGCCGTTTCTCTAGCAGAGAATCGCGATAGAGAGGGACCCCGAAGAGAGGACTCAAAGCTCATTAGAGGGATGTTTATTATTTAATTATGTATTTTTCCCCCCTTTTTTCTAACCACCTTCCCGCACCCCTTGAGGCCTTTTAACGAAGCCTGGAAAAAAAGAGAAGAAAAGATGAAAAGAAGTTGGGTAATCTTGTTGCTTGATTAAACGAGGCCCAGCCGGCTCGCTTTATTTTTTATGTTTATGGGGAATAACCCGATGCAAGGCGGTCCAACTAGCGGAAGGCAACGCGAAGTTCTTCCGGCTTAGCGGGAAACTCTAATGCGATACTTCTCTTTAAATTCGAGTCCGATGACTGTGTTCCTTACCCTTAGTTATTGAGATTGAAATCCCGGGGTTTTGCGCTTTCCCGGCTTTTCCGGGCTATTTTTCGAAGCGAGTCAATGGGGTATCGGCCCGTTCTGATTTCTTTAGAAGTTCTAAGGACCGCTAAATCGATGTTTGACACTTTTTCGCCCCGGTTTTATGGATCGTCGGATCGAACGCGAGGGGATGGTGCCTCTCTTCCTGAACCACCTGTTGAAAGTCATCCCGGGGTGCGTTCCCGATAGGCTAATTCTCCCTAATTCTCCGGGGAAATGTCTCGTACATGAGACTTTCGGTCTCGCTAAACCTTAAACATCGTGGGCGTAGTAATTCGCCTCGAGTGTGGGAAATTTTGCTTTTTGTCGGGCCGAGGTGGCGGGCTCGAAGAGCTCCCAGGGCGGCCCTTCTGACGGCAAACTGGCAATTTTCCTCGGTTAATCAAAAGAGCAGTCGACGGAGCAACCGTCGAGTGGAAGACCCGCGTAGACACTTGACTAAACAAATTAAACTCGGTTTTAAGGCGCTACGCCCTGGGACTTGTCGTCGCCGACTCCTCGCCCCGTTTCCCCAGACGATTTTCACGAGACTCCCGACAACTTTGACAACTCCAGTTCTACGGTCAAAATGACGACTGTAAATTGAATTCAATGCTTCTCGGTTGCGGATGCTTCCGGGCTCCTCCTTTAAGGTGATCTGAAAGTGGCATCGAAGAGGTTTCGTTTATAAAACTTTTCTCCCAACTCGGTTTACCGAATAGTTTAAAACCTCACAACGTGAATAGGGAGACTACAAGGAAGGTCCTGAAACTCATGAAATGTCAATTCTTTTCAAATTTCTTTATAGGTATTTTAATAATAGTTTGTAAAAAATGAAATTTCACGAGTTTCAGGACTTATCTTAGGGTCTCCGTATTCACGTTTTAAAGTATGAGATGATTTGAGACACCCAATTTTGTGAACGATTGAGCTTTCGGATGCCACTTTCACATCCCCTTAATCCTTTCGATGCACCTTTCGTGCACTTTCTGCAATCCCCAAAAACTTGAGGACGATCCTATTCTTTTTTTTTTATTTTTTTAAATTACCCTAGACGGATAGTCAAAGCTTCGAAATAAATTCGGCCAGTCGTTAGGCCTTGAATCTCGAGATTATCCCTGCAATTATCGCGTTCTCGAGCCTTATCCGAGTTCTTGGAGCTTATCTACCGAGTGATGATTATCCGGTTCCTTGGAAGTATCGGTTGTCTCAGTGATATCGGGTTCTCGAGCTCCATCGGAGAAATCGGAAACCGGGGACGTCGGGATCTCTTGGGAAAATGTACACGTCGATCTCTTGGGAAAGTGTACACGTCGATCTGTACGAACAAGTGTTGCCGGAGGAGAATTAAAGTAAACTTACATGTACCTTTTGTCCTGGCTTAATCCCGAGACCGGTGAATCCCACCTGCCCGGATTCTACGAGCATCCTTCTCTCGAAAACTTTCCCCCGGAATTTCTTTCCTTTCTTCGTCCGAATCCCACCTGGGGATTCTGCATTTTTAATCGGAGCCCTCGTTAGGGCCGAAATTAGGCAGGTGGGTTTATGTATCTCCGAGGGGGTACGATTGTGCTCGGACACGCGAACGACGAATGGCAGAGTCAAGGGGTAAACGGTGGTACATGTCGGAAACGACCCTCCCGTAAAATTAGGGGACTCGAAAAGCTCGACAAAGTGGCGTACAGTTTAATGCGGGGATTTAAATCGAGCCGTCATGGCCGCACTCAATATTTGATTTCGCGGCCCGAATCGAACGCCATCGAGCGAACCTAAACGTCCCTTTGAGCGTTTTAACGAAATAGGAGGCACCTCCACCAAGGAAGACCCCCCCTCGAAAATCCCATTTCGGAACATTCCTATATCATGTATCTTGATTTCGATTCGGCAGTCGTCTCCGACTTGACTCGATATTGCTCATCGGGAGCCGATCGAATGCATTGCGTTATTCATCTATTTCCCGCTTTTGCCAAGGATGCCGACGTGTTTGAAGTGTCTTAACGCGTCCCTCGGGACTCGCGGTGACTGTGGAAAAAATCGGAAAAGTGTCTCGGGAGTCCTAGGATTTTTCCTGAATTTTTCTCCTATTTTCCAACCCGACTCGAAGGCCCCACGTGGAGGGGAAACGTGGGACTTCGCGGGCCCGCGATGGTTACCACGTGGTAATGACTTTTATTATTACTCGTTACGTCCGGATGTAGATTGTCTAAGGAGCGATGTACGGCAATATCGATCTCGGTGAGAGAATTTGCCGAGTTCTCGTTTCGGCTCGGAGGATACGGAGGCGAAGGCGAGGAGACAAATCGACGAAGGCCCCGATGTATATATTAAGTTAGTCGCCACGTCGATTGGCTGCATTTCCCGCTCGGTGTTTCCCCGTCTCTGGAAATCTCGCCGAGAGGGATGTCCCATAGCGGTGGAGGACTATTTTCGACGCATTGTGCCCCCCTGACGTTTCTCATATAACGCGAATTCCTTGCCGAGCTCTCGTCGAGTATCGCATGCCGAGGACCGGTCTCACTTTAGGGGAATATTAAATCCCCACCTCGTGGTGGGAAAATGGAAAAGTCGGTGCCAGGCCGCGATTCGTCCGGAGATGTGGGATGGATTTCAATTTTTTTTTTTCAATTTCTGTATCGCTATTTATTTCTTCGCGACCGTCCATTCATTCCCGAAAGAGGGTTCCTCGATTTTTTTTTTCTTTCTTCCCCTACGATGCGAATACCTTAAGACGAGGGGCCATTCGCTCGGAAATCGGTGGAAACGATTTATTTCTTTCAAGATCCATTGCCTTCGATTTTATGTGATAAACAATAATTTTTTGGCGATTATTATCTGGCGATGTTTGTCGGACTAACTTGTCAAACTAACGACCGTGGAGAAATTGGGACTAAATTCGTAAATCGATTCGGAAATGATTTGTTTCTTTCGAAAGCGATTGCTTTCGATTTCATGTGATAAACAATAATTTTTTGGGGGTTTCCAATGAATTTCCGGGATTTTTGATTGATTTCGAGCATCATAAGCCATGATTTCATGATTGAGAGCAACGCCTCGTATAAAAGCGATCCGAATTTGACTGTCGATTGACACTTGCCTCGAATTGACTCGAAGCGATGTCACTTTTTTCCTCGTGGGAACTCGTTGCATATGTACACATCGTGTCAAAGACAAACTCAGCTGGCGAAGTTTGTCGGGTTAACTTGTCAAACTAACGACCATGGACGACTTGGGACTAAATTCGAATTCAATCCGAACGTCGTGTAAATGACGTCACGCCCGTTCAACAGTTCCATCCGCAATCGGATGCAACGCCTCTCCATTTGTCCGGGAATACTGGGTAAATTTTTCCCCGGTCCGTTTTCCCGCCGGCTCGGAAACTCGTATCCCGGTGAAAATTCATTTATTTCCCGCGGTTCCCGCGAAACTTGGCGAAATGTCTCTCGCCCGGACTCGCGTAAAGGCGATTTGCATTATCCCCCGGGGTCCGTCGAATTGTCTCAGCATCTCGAAAGGGATTCTTAATATCTCGGGAAAACTCGAGGGAACTCGAAGCCCCGTGAAATCCCGACCTTTCCCTTGGGGGAAACGTCGAGTTTGTTAAGAACATCCATGCATATTCCATCGTAGCATGAATCCATTACTCTCTAATTCCCCTCCATCGAGGTCGATTTATTTCTCGGTGCTTTCTAGTGGCCGTCCCTTTTCTATATCTCTCTCTTTCTCTTTCCCTTACACGGCCCTTTTCGATTCGACGATC